TGTGGTCCATCCTGATTTAATTTTGGTATGGCTGAGTTAATTTTTGTATGTAGTAGTGTTGCAGTTGGACTGTCCTCATATAGGTTACTTAGGTTAACTTTATAGCTGTTTGATAGGCCTGCTTTTATAGAGCTGTTTTGCTTTTTTTTTTTTTTTTTTTTTTTTTTTTAGGGAAGGGTCTACAGGGTGTTCAAGATCTCACTACTAGATGGAACTCATAGTGATCCGCCTATTTACAGCCTCCTAAGAACTGGGATTACAGGCGTGCGCCACCACGCCCAGGTGCCCAGTCTCCATTGAGGTCTCATCGTGCCCTGGGGCGGGGGGCTGGCATGGCAGGCCTGAGGATAACCCCCGGCCCCTGCACCTGCTTGCAGGTGCTTTAATCCACTGAGCTATTTGGCCAGCCCTTGTTTTGCTTTTATCTTTTACTTAAATGACTTGGAATAGGAGAAGTTAGACTAATAGTCCTGAGCCAGAGAGTTCTAATTCTTTGGTCTGTACACAACGTCATATTCTAGATTTCCTGTGGAATTTTCTATATGCATCCTTCAGTTAAAACACTTGTATTTATAGGTTTTCCTTTTCCTTAAAAATATTCTCTGGATATTTACTGAAGAACGACAAACATTCACAGACCACGAAACGGGAGGGCTGGTGCTGATTTCTTAGGTACAGAAGACAGTAAGTAAAAGGAAAAATTCGCTCCAGCTTCCTTTCTACTTTTTGGTCAGGGCTTCACTGTGTGATTCAGGCAGCCCTTACACTCAGGGCAGTCCTCTTTCCTCAGCCTCCTGAAGGCGGGATTACAGGTGTGCACCACCGTGTCTGGCTCATCCCAATTTCTTTTTCTCATTCCTTTTTATGTCCCTCAGGAAGGAAAGGAAGGGAAAGGGAAGGAATCGAATCAGGATGGGGAAGTGGAGGGAGGGGAGGAAGAGGATGAAAAGGCATTAAAGTGGGTTATGCACATGCGCCAACTCCCACAAGGAATGTAAACATTATGTGTCACCGATATGTACTACTAAACTAAAATTTGAAACATTTTAAAAAGGAAAACCTGGGTTGGGAGTGTAGCTGGGTGTAGAGTACTTGCTAGCAGGCTTGAGGCCCGGCACTGCAAAAACCAAAGTGAATCAAAACAGAACAAAACCGAACCAAGTCTAAACAAAACAAAAACCTGGTAAAGTAGGTATCATCCACAGATTGGAAGAAAATATTTAAAAACATAGCTCATAAAGGAGTGTAAAATCTATAAAGAACCACTACGACTAACTAATGAAAAGGCAAAGCACCAGTGTTTAAGTGGCTGCAGCCTTGAGTGGGCACTTCACAAAGGGAGACACAGTGGTGGGTAGCCCGGGGCAGGAGCTCCCTGTCCTTGGCCGTTGGGGAGAGGTGAAGTAGAGCCAGCAGGAGAGGCCCCGCACCAGGTGGTCAACACATGAAACGTAAGTGAGCTTTGAATGAATCTCTGCGGAGTGGATAGGGAGAGACAGGAGAAAGGTGACAGCCGAGGCCTGGTGCTGGGTGAGCTTGGGAGTGTTGGAGTTCAAGAAAGATGAGCAGATGTTGGGACTGCTCTGCGCTTGGTCAGAGAAGTTGCTAAAAGGTGTTAGCTGTAGTGAAGAGGGGCCCATGAGCTAGCACAGCGGACTAAGAGCCTGCCTAGGCAAGCGCAGGGACTAGAGTTCGATCCTGGCACCACATGCACGCCAGCCCCAACCCCGGACGCACTGAGCCAGCCACTGAGTCTGGGCATGGTGGCACATGCCTGTAATCTCAGCACTCGGGAGGCTGAAAGCAGGAGGATCGCTGTGAGTCCAAGCTGCGTAGTGAGACCCTGTACAAAAATTATAGTAAAAAGGCTGAAAGGAAAGGCAGAGGGGAGATTTCCTCTTGGCTGCATGAACACATTCCTGACAGAAGGAGGGAAGTTGAAAGAAAACATCGAGGAAAAAGATAAATTCTAACTTTGGATGCTTTCTTATTTTATTTTATTTTACTTGTTTGCGGTACTGGGGATCTAACTTGGGACCTTGCGCCTGAGGTATCTCCCCAGCACTGGATGCTTTTGAATTCCAAGTGAGAGTCCTAACGGCGAAGTCCAGTACGTGGTTGGAAGACTTGCCCGGGAAGCTGGAGGCCCCTGGCAGGCGAGCCATTTCATCAGTTTGGATTTGCTCCATTCTTTCTATTTTTCCCAGGTTCCTATAGGGAGCTCTAAGCAGAGTGTAACATTTGACCAAACAAGTGTTCTTTGAAGATTTATAAATTCTCCATGAGAATTTACACATAGATTTTATACATGCAAAAGTATGTTATCTGCAGAGATAATTCTGTTTCTGCTTTTGATGTCTTTCTCTAATACAGTTGATCTGGCTAGAACTTCCAGGGTTATGTTGGGTGGAGTGGCACGAGTAGGCCCCTTTGTCTTGTTCCAGTCGGGAGGCAGAGCTGGGAGGACCGCAGGTTCTAGCCCAGCCTGGTCAGCTTAAGGACCTGAGAGTTCAGACCACAGCTTGTTTTCTCTTCAACGTATTTGCAATGTTTTATTTAGAATGGTTGGTGTTCATTCTTCTTTAAAACGTTTGGTAGAATTCACCAGTGAAGCTTTTGGGTCTGATCATGTCTTTGTTGGGAGGCTGTTTTTGTCTTTTTGAGACAAGGTCTTGCTATGTAGTCTAGGCTGCTCTCCATCCTCCTACCTCAGCCTCGCAAATGCCAAGATTATAGGTGTGCACCACCACACCTGGCTTGGGAAAGTCTTGATTACTGATTCAATCTCTTTACTGCTTAGAGTTTCTGGTGCTTGTTGAGCTAGCTGTGGTAGGTTGGGTGTCTAGGAATTTGTCCATTATATTTAATGCATTGGTGTGAAGTTGCTCATAGCATTCCATTATAGTCTTTTTTATTTTAAATTAATGCTAATATCCCCACTTTCATATCTGCTTGCTTTATTTATTTTTGCCTTTTGAGGAAGGGCCTGGCTGTGTAGTTCAGCCTGGCCTTGAACTCACTATGTAGCCCAGGCTGGCCTTGAACTTGTGGCAATTTCCTTGCCTCCACCTCCTGAGTGCTAGGGTTACAGGTGTGTGCCCCCACAGCCAGCTCATGCTGAACTGTCTGTGTGTTCTTTTCTCTTTTCTTTTCTTTCTTTCTTTCTTGGAATTGAATTCAGTCTCTTGCGCTTGGTCTGCTGAGCTATATCCGTAGCCCTCATTATCGGATTTTAATAATGTGTCATTTTTCTTTTCTTAGTCCGTTTTATTGATCTTTCCGAAAAGCCGATTTCTGCAGTCCCTGATTTTTTTGTTCTCTATCTCACTTAGCACTGCTTCACTTTTCTTTAGCTTTGGGCTTAGTTTGCTCTTTTTCCCAGTTAGGTCATTGATTCGACATCTTTCTTTTTTATGAACATAGTATGTAGAGGTATAAATTTCCTTTTGAGCACAGCTTCTGTTGTCTCCTGTAAATTTTGTTAAGTGGTTTGCTTTTTCACTTATCTCAAGACATTTTCTATTAAAACCTTGAATTTTATTGGTTTTATAGTCTTAATTTTGTACTTTTTTGACTTGAGGTTTTCCTAAGAATAGATCTTGTATCTCAATTCATGTTTACACACATACAGGTTGCAGCAAAAGGGTCCTTAATCTGCAGTGGGTGTGTAAGCGCCCTCTTGGAATGGATTTGTGTGTTAGTCAGGTAGAGTCCCAGAGAGCTAAGTTGTGTAGACAGGAAGAAGGGTTACTGATGAGTAAGGGATAATTGAGGTGGGTCCCGGCACTTCATTCCTGGTGTCCTGAAGAGAGTTCATCTAGAAGACCTGCCTGTGTCAGGTGGAGTGGACTCGGGCACCCTCCAGTCCACACCAAGACCTTCCCGCGCTGCCCCGGTGAACTGCCCTTCCTTCACTCTGTTCGGCTGTGCTCTCCCTGCCTTCAGCTTATCATCCTTACCTTCGGAGTTCTCACTCAGTTTCGGGTGACCCTAGAGAGCTTTGAAATGGGGGCGGGGATGGAAAATGTTAAGACATGTTAGGAACGTGTACCAGCTTCCCGTGATGAATGTAATCATTACATACTGCAAACATCTGCTAATAAAAAATAAGTGGAAGAAAGAAAACAGCCAGGAACTCGAGGTCGGTGACAGACGTGAAGTTGCCGACAGTTCTGGACAAGTTGCAAGCCTGCCGGTGTACTTTTCTTCTTGCTACGGGGAATCGAACTCAGGACCCGCGCTTGCCAGCCAGGCCCCAGTTTATTCAGTTGGCGAACAGCCACTTTCAGCTCCAGGGCAGGACGAGTCCTTGGAGGGGTCCTGACGACCGCTTCCTTACAAGGTAAGGGTCCAGGCGCTAATGCAGACGCCCCTCTGCCCCTGCAGGTGTTCAGGAACCCCCTCGAGGTGGTGACGGTGCTGCTGACCCAGACCCTGGGGGCGCTGGTGCCGCCTCTGCCCGAGTGCCTCCGTGCCGGCGTGGAGCGGGCCGGACCCGAGCTGGAGCTCTCCAAGCTGCTGGAGCTCTACGAAGCCACCGCGCACTTCGCCAAGGGGCTGGAGGCTGCACTGCTACCCCACCCGCGTAAGCGCCTTCCTCCCTTCCGGGCGTGCCCTTGCCTTGTGAAGTCCGTGGGTGGGGCTTGGCTTTGTCCGGCAACTGATTGGACAGGTACTGAAGGCGGCCGCATTTTCCACGCGGGCGAGGGCCTTGGGCTGGATGTATCACCCCGTGCAAGCAGGGGTTTAATGTATTTGTCCAGCCCCGTGCTGCCCGGGCCCGCTCCGTGCCAGGGTGAGGGCACAGACGCTTGGATGTGAAAGAACCAAGCGTCAGCAGCGAGCAGCGTGCCCACCGCGAGGCTGCTGTCCGCTCTCTTTCAAGTCACCAACCTCATGTGATTCAACCTAAAGAGTAAATTGAAAAGAGCACAGCTGGGGGTGGTTAGTGAAGCAGCCTTGCAAGAGAGGAGAGCTGTGCCAGCTCCGGGTGGCCACAGGAGAGCAGCCCCCACCCCCACCCCCACACCAGCCAAAGCCAGAGCGCATCTCCTCCGCAGCTGGGCAGATGGTGCCTGTTGTGCTTCCCAGCTGTCTTCCATCTAGTGCAAAGCATCGTGCCTTTTTCCTATTCTTTTTTTCCCTTCCAGCTATTATTGGGAATCGAACTCAAGACCTTGCGCTTGCCAGGCAGGCGCTGTGCGCTGAATACACCCTGGCCCTTGGCGTCATACATTTCTAAGTAACAGACCTCGGGACTCATGCTGCCAGCAGATCAGGAACCTGCCGGGAAGCGTTCCTGCTGGGTGGCTGCTGCATGCTTCTAGCCGGGCTTATTTAATAGTTACTCTCTTTAATTACATTTGCAGGCATTGCCTGTGCATTCCAGGGGGTGTGTGCATTGATGATTCATAGCTTTCCTTGGCACAGTCCTGCGTCGGGCCTCGGGTGGCACAGGAGGGGGGCAAGTGAGTGGCTTCCAGAGGGCCTCAGGGGCCTGGGCCCACGGGGCATGGGGGAACAGGGCTGCACCCAGCGCCATCCTCTCTGGAGACAAGGGTCAGGCTGGGGTGTGCTTTGGGGTCCACCCTGGAAGTTTACCTTTTTGTCAGTTCCTTTTGGGGTTTTTCTGAAGTGTTCTGGCTAGTGGGGCATGGGGGTGCCTCCCTGGCCTCCCAGCACTCGGGAGGCTGAGGCAGGAAGCCCTCTGTGAGTCTGACAGCCTGAGCTGCATAGCTAGATGCTTCGTCAACAAGCACAGAAATAAAAAGCAAAAAACATGAGGTTTTTTTTCTTTTTTTTTTTTTTTTTTTTT